TTGCTCATCCTAGGTGAGGGTGTGGTGCCCCCTTCTCCCCCTGAGGAGAGACAGGGTTGCTCCCACCCACCCACCTGCCTGGGCACCTGGCATCTGGCAGCCGCGACCAGCTGGCCGCTGGTTGGCTGGCTTGACAACCGGTTCGTCTGCGTGAGCCTCTGTGCCATCCTTGTCTTTCTGGCCTCACTGGCCATTCAGAGTCCTTGGCTTTCCCTCCTGGGTTGGTGGGTGTTAATCAGATATTCGGGAACTGAGCCCCTGGTCCGACGTGTGTGTCTGGGCTTCTGTTCCCGCTTCCTGGGGGTCTCGCGTGTCTGGTTGGAGAAACCGCAGGGTGGGTGGGTTCCGAGGTGCGTCTTCCCCACCGAGCTCAGTAGCTTGAGACGGAATTTACACCACCGGAACTGGCCAACGCCACACCTCCGGGCTCTCCCCATTCTCTCCCTGTCTCTGTCTCTGTCTCTGTCTCTGTCTCTGTCTCTGTCTCTCTTTCCCTGTCTCTCTCTCGGAAAACCAGTTGGTAAGCATTTACCAACACAGCACAGGTGTAGGCCGCCTTGTTTACCCCAGGAGGCAGGCATCCCTGAGAGGCAGTTTCTGGCCCCTGGGGATGGATGGTCCTCCCCAGATCCCTGGACTGGCACTCAGGCTTCTGTGGGGACTGCTCTCCTCCTGCCAGGCCCACGAGCACATTGCTGCCCTTGGCTGAGGCCAAACCTGGCCTGGGCACTGACCCTGCAACCCCTTCCCTAGGCGGCCGTGCCCCACCCACTCTCTGCCCCACCTGGGGTCCAGGCAGAAACCAGGAGGCCAGGATGTCCACGCACCTGCTCCTGCTCCCCGAGCCTTTGTCCCCCCAGCACCCCCATCTTCCACAGGGCAGAGTGTCCTGTCGGGGGATGAAGAGGTTTGGAAGGTCCTGCGGTGGGGGCAGGGAGGCACAGTTTCCCCACACAGATGCCTCTCAGGCCCCTCTCACCTGCTGGGGGTGCAGCCTGGGCAGGAGCGGAGGTGGGGTCCGGCTGCACCTCTGCCCAGAGCTGGGTTCTGAGGCAGGGAGCGTGGGTCTCAGTTTCCCCACCTGGCTGTGGTCAGAACCAAAAGACAGCCGAGGTGTGGGGTCAGCTGGAACTGGGGGCTGACGCAGTCCAGTTCTTGGGGTGGGAGCAGGGCATCCTACAGATGTGGCCTTTGTCCTGGGAGGCCCAGGGGGAGCATGTGGGCACATGCACTCGGCCATGCTCCCACCCCAGCCCCGGGAGCCCCCTCACAGACAGCTAGGGCTCTGACTCCAGTCCCGGTGCCTGTTCTGTCTCCACCTGACCTCAGAGATCTGCAGGGAGAAGTGAGGAGACAGATGGTCTGGGACTGGCCCCACCCGGGAGACATCCAGCTGGGCCACACAAGTGCCGTGACCTTGCTTCCCTGTCTCCACCAGCAGGGGGTGCCGTGTCCCCGCTCGGGGATTCTGTTCTTGGAAGAAACTTCCGCTTCAGGGCTTTCGGGCAAACTTTTGCCAAGAAACTTTGCCCCCCAGGCCCCCAGTGCTGGATCTGCCCTGTGGATGGCTCATGAGGGTGTGGGCACCCCTCCTGCCACCCCCATGCCCTCCCAAATCTGCCACTTGCTTCGGCTGGGGTGTCAAGGACAAACGCTGGGCCTGTCCAGCCTCTCCTGACACGCCCCGGGCGCTTAGCTCCGAGAGCGCCCGCTGGTTGCACAGTTCCTTCCTGCACGAGATCCTGTTTGCATCACCGCAGGCTTGGGGGGTGGGGGCTGTGCCAGGATGTCCTCAGAGGCCCAGCTGAGGCCCCGCCCCAGGCCTGCTGGTGACCCCAAGCATGAGCCCCTGTAGGCTGTGGCACCGGAAATACTGAGTCTCCCTGACTCTGGGGTGAGGACCCCCCTCCGACGTCCTGGCTGCTCTCACTGGACCCACAGGCCAGCGGGGGCTGGGCCGGGTGTTCCATGTCCTTCCCGAGGGGTGGCATGGTGCCGTGGGTGTCGGTGTGAGCACCTCCCCGGGGGCTGTCCAGGGCTGGGAGGGAAGGTGACAGCCTTTGGGGCCTCAGAGCCTGCGACCAGCCCTGGACCAGGTGCGTTACAAGGTGGGGGACACGGGGTGGGTGCTTGGCACTCAGAGCAGCAGAGCTGGTGGTTTAGCTGTGTATCGACTGGGTGGACCGGGCTGATTCCTTGGGGCGTTTGAAGCTGTTCAGCCTTGGGGGGGATCTGAGAACACCCACCCCTCCTGAATAGGGGCAGGCGGACAGGGAACTGTGCGGACGGGTGCTGGGCCCTGGTGGTGGTGGGCACAGGCTGTGCAGGTGGGGTGGGCCTGCCGGTGGGGTCCCGGCCCGTGTTTGCCCTGACCTGCAGGGTTGGGGCTGCTCTCCATCTGAGCCCCATGCAGGAGAGAGTGGCCTGTAAATTTCAAGGGCCTGGATGGGTGTCTGGCTGCTGGAAGCGTTTTTAAAATGGAGGTGAAGGTTGTGTAGCATAAACGTGAGCACTTGACGGCGAGCCATGTAGTGACGTTTCGTGCATTCGTGGCGTGTGGGTCACCACCTCTCTCTAGCTCCAGAACGTGCTCATCGCCCCAAAAAGATGTGCGTGGCCCTGGCAGTCACTCCACCCCGGCCCCTGGCGCCTGCCCAGGTCTCTGTGCATCCGCCAGCTCTGGGCACGCCTGTCAGAGGTGCCATGCAGCGTGCACTGAGGAACCGTGGACTTCCCTTCCCCACGGCTTCCCTGCCAGCCGGGGTCAGGCTCCTGTGTCTCCATGCCACCACCACCACTTGGGGCAGATTGCTCCCCTATTCTTCAGGCAGCAGGCCGTGGCCCAGACTGGGGAAACTGAGGCACAGTGTTGCGGCTGGAGCGGGCTGACTGGCCCCACCCTCCCTCCCTCTA